AACCTCACATAGATATATGTGACGAACTTTTAAACGACAACTTTGTTTCTGTTTTTGACCATTTAATATCATAGAAAATATACACAGATAAAGTTTTTAGCATCTTGCCTGGACATTTAGTCAATATGATTAGGCCTACATCATAAAATACCTGCCATGCATTCTCAGTTTCTGAAATACATTTTATTACCTTTTATTTATTTTTTAATTTCATGACACCAAATGCTGGTGTAGCACCTTTGCTCCGTGTCACACTAATCTGGGGTGCTAAACTAGGCTTGTGCCAGCAGTGCATTGAAATTTCTGTTCTGACAACGAACACTACATGTTTACAGTTTCTGCCGTACAAAAATATTGTCACATTTGTCTATGAACGACTCTCTATTAACATGTTACTGGGGTCCTGTCATTGTCATGCAGAGACTTATAGTTATAGAGACCCTATCAAGCCATGCCAAGCTGGATTACACTGAGTGTAGTCACTGCCAGAGTGTTTTGTGGCCTCAATACTAGAAATGGGCTCGCAATTTTACATGGTAATCCGAGCCATGACAGAAAAATGAATGATGAATGATGGATTGACAGAGAGGCAGGTTTTCACACCTTTAAAAATTCGGTGTTTTGGCCGGCGGAGTGTGTACAGTGTAGTGACTACAGTCACTAAGGGTCAGTAACTAAACATAGTCTAGTATGCTATGAAATAATCCTGTTTAGCTAATCCTAACCTATCTCTATTTGTAAACTATTCGCAAACTCATCATTCTAAATTGTAGTGCTAAGGTATGGTTGACCCGTTGTGCATATAGCTAGGCACATCATGACTGATTCGATGATTCCTACCTCCATCTATCTAGCAATCTCAAACTGTATACATAGTTTCCCCTAGCTGGAAATACTTGGATTGGGCATGCCAGAACCAAATAATCTTCTGATAAATGATAATTAGAGCCGAAATACCGAGAGGAAATTGTGAAAAATTTAATACCTTATTCGCAGTGATGTTATCAAAAGCTAAATTTTCAAAAAGTAGGTTAGGAAAACCATTCCTCTTAATCCCTAATAGCTTACCTTAGCGCTAATGCGGCCAAATTGTAACATTCAACCAAAGTATGGGCGTAGGTGCAGCTAATTTATTATCAACACACATGATGGCAACACATGCATGTATGCATAAACATGTGCATGTGCATGTTCAAGTGTATGCACGTGTGGTTATAATTTAATTAATCTATTAATTTACCACCTTCAGTAGTTGAAGGATGTTACATCACACTAACCCAGACACACTAAATAGGTGTCAGGGGATTCAAGCTTCCTGCCACAGAAATTTAACCACTTATTGCTACTGCTTTCCCTAGTTGAAGGTGTTTGACCCATGGGGCGTAATTTCTACCAGGGTTTATTGCTTCAGATTCCATTAGCTCATTAAAAGGGTTAGTACACTTAATGCTGAGAGCGATGATGACTAGAGTGATGATATTTTCTCGCATTGCAGTGCAGCCGATGCCGAGGGGAGATCATGTTCTGAACTTTTCCGATGCAGAAGACTTGATTGATGATAACGAGTTAAGGGATTTGCCGGGTGACCCAGTCCTTGAACATGGTATGAATGCGCGCTTACACTCGACTATCAGTAGTGCCGGCTGAGAGAGATTGCTGATTAATAATTCATAGATAAACGGACTTATGATTTCGATTTAAGTGGAGAGTTCAAGGTTTTTGAAAAAATTTAATTGTATATTATTTATATATACATGATATATAAATATATATGTTTGTGTGTGTGCGTGCGTGCGTGTGTGCGTGTGTGTGTGTGTGTGTGTGTGCATATGTACATGCGTGTCTATGTATATATAATAAAATACCTACATTTTAAGCAAAAGATTCCATAAATATATCAATAATAGATCATCATAATCAGAAACATATCGAAAATTATTTTCGGTTTATTACAGATATCTCGGAAAACAAAATATTTGATATCTTCTCCAGGCATCTCCATAGAGCGTTGTGTCGTAATTTAGAGTAGACAGACACATGCATGATGGATACTACTGCATTGCATTTCACTGATATCATATTATAGTCTGCAACAATAAATCTTTCTAATTCTCTATCTCCAGAACTTACCGTCGCTGATAGGAGAGCCAAGCGGGAGATTAGGAACTTGGAACAAGAACTTCCAAAGTGGCAGGTTCTAGTCGACAGCGTCACTGGTGAGTAGAACACACTCGGAAAACATGCTTACAATGTTTTTAGAACGTCTTCTCGATAACTATTTAAACACATCTAAATTTTAATTACTAAAAACTGGTACGACACGTGGCCTCGGCATGTTCATTGGTATGATACGCATCTAATATACATGTTGCTTGCGTGAATAATTGACGAGTTTCTGAAATTAATGAAGAAACCTTGTTGCTCATTGAAGGCATTAAGTATAGATGAGATGCTAGTGGCATGCTTCTTGTCGACTACTAGCACTTTACACTTCGCAGATATATTGCGAGGAAATCACACAGCATGCTATCACTCTGATACATTCAGTAAACACAGTAACACTGCCTACGTAACAAAGTTAAAGTTATGTAAATATCTTTTAATAAGTAATAATAGTTGAATACATAACGCGTTTGTATTCCAGGAATTAGCCCACCAGATTTTGATAATCAGACACTAGCCGTGCTAAGAGGAAGACTGGTGCGATACTTGATGAGATCAAGAGAGGTGCGTTTTCTAAAGTGTAACGACGATTGAAGTCGTTTTGAAAACCTACTTTGATTAATTACTCGACCAACTTGATGGTTTATATGTGAAAGGTTGTTATTTTCTTTTATCGATGCGTCATCGGTTGACTAAAAATCGTTACACATTGATAACATGATCTTCGATGATGGGCTTAATGTGATGCATCACTAGTGACAGGGGGCTGTGCTCAGCACACAATACAACATATTGTTGTAGGATAGTATCCACCTATGCTATCTGTAAATACTGCTCTTTTATCACCTGTGGTACACTATAAACACGCAAGTGCAAGCTAGGCATAAAGAAGTGTGACAATTGAGACCACTTCCGTTTATAATACCACGCCAGTCAACAGAGGCTTTGGCTACTATGGCTACTGCTGGTTGTTGTGTTTATGTAAAGTCTCTTCTGTAACTGTCATTGGCAGCAGTATTAGGTATAAGTGAAAATAGAATTGGAATTGACCATTACCAATGTATATCAGCCTTTGTCCTGTTTAATAACAAAGATGTTACTCTACTGTTAAGTAATACTCGTACAGAAATGTGACTGACTTGACTCTTGTCTTGAGGAATTCTAATTGGCCTTGAATTAAGAGGATCGACGTAGATTTATATCTTAAATGTAGTAAGAAGTAGAAAAGTAATAAGTAAATCAGGCTGGTCGGTGTCATAGCTAGATTGGACCGCATGCTAGTGCCTAGTAGTCCAAATTTTAATTTTCTCTGCTCTGTGCCTTAATAGATTGCATTTCACACCTCGTATTCAGATCACTCTGGGCCGATCCACAAAGGACAATAGCGTGGACGTAGACCTATCACTGGAGGGGCCATCGTGGAAGATCTCTCGGCGACAGGGTATCATTAAACTGAGAAACAATGGCGATTTCTTCATTCTGAATGAAGGAAAACGACCGCTGTACATCGATGGAAAACCGGTCCTGCATGGCAACAAGTACAAGCTTGGCAACAACTGCGTAGTCGAGGTAACGTTAGGATATTCTGCTTTGATATCTCATCTTACTCCTGACACCATTAATTTTTCGTATTACTCGCATTCGCATGATTACAGTCATTACCATAGTAACGCAGATTCTATCAACATGTCCTTATGCATTAAGCAAGTGTTATTATTAGATTCATCTGTTCGCAACATTCAGTAATACTTTTGTTATTAAAATGCTGTTATGCTGCTGATGTTGTTACAGCTAAAACTATTTATTTTTTCTTACAGATATCTTGCCTCCGATTCATATTCCTTATTAATCAGGATTTGATTAATGTAATTCGTGCTGAAGCTGCTAGGCTTGGATCAACCTGATAAACACAGTTGCCATAGTAACAGATGTTTGCATTATATATTTTCATTCTTACGTGAAACGTAATATATGTGTATATACGTGTAAAAAATAAATTTTAGCCATAGGATACTAGTATTATTCTGACTTCATCATCTTTCATCATACACTCGATAGAAATACTCGTATAGAACAGTAGAAGTGGTAAAGTTCATGGCCGTAAAACTCTTTGCTCAGAAATAGAATGTAGTATAGAGGCTTGTACTAAAGATTCTCTGTGAACGTGCCTCTCAATTACACCCCTATGCCATATTACAATTACATTATTTATGCTACTTGATTACAACTTTAATAACGTATTTCCGAAATGCAAGGTGTGATCACAGAACGCTGTAAAAATCTGCGTAATCAGGCTATAGCAGTGATTAAAACTGACCGATTATTACTGATATTTTAATTATTAAATTACATTATTGTATACCAATTTGTGTATGTCTAATAGCATTCAGATAATTATTTACCACATTCGCCGGTAGTATCTTGCAGAGTATACGTTTTTATGTTAGTGCTGGCTTACTCTAGTATGCAAAAAAGAGCTAGTACTCGTACACAACTATTTGTACAGTAGTTTAGCAGTTGAAATGACTTTATCTAAATCGCATACGTGTATCTCAGTATACAAACCATGTGATATATACTAGTACAGTTTTTGATATGCGCTTGTGAGTAATTGCCAGATGCATTCACACGATCAATGGGAGGTTGTTTCTGCCTTGGTGACATTGCTAATCGTGTGGCGCTGTGCCATTGTAATGAAATGCATACAAATGAAATTACAATAAACAGGTATGCTGAAATAGATTCTCTCGTTCTTCTATCTAGAACAGCTTGACGTTGTATCCTTGCCCGGGTTTCTTTGCGTTGTTGTGAAGTGAAGGGTCTCTCACTCACTCATCGTGTATTGTATACACGCTACGTAGACAGCTTCTACAGTATGGCTTCGTGACATTGTTGTATCTTTCATCAATATCATTGAGGGTAACGTTGGTGGGGTGCCAGTCTAACCGGCCATCTGACTCCGATTCTCTGGCCGGTGTCGCGTTTCTAGGTGTGTGCATGAGCCAGGCGTTGTCTATCATGTGAAATGCGTAGCCGGCGCGACACAGCTCGTATACCTGCAACGTATAACGTGTCAATGTATTCAGAATTCGTTAGTAACGGAGCTGTCAGTTCGTGTCAGCAGACGATAGAGCTGCTCATTGCACGCGACATCTGTGCCATCGGAAATCAGGTCGTTAATTAGTGATTCTATTGTACGTTGGGTCGTTATAACTCTGCTGCATCATAAGCCTCGTTAATATACATGAGCTCCGTACTCGGTGAAACACGTGTACAGCGTGCTCCTCATACATGCGCACGTAGATGGGAAGGAGTGGACTACACAAACATAATATTGTTTATCTATGCTAGTAGGTCCCTAATGATGATTGCGTAATTAATTAGTTAGTTCATTATAATTACTCTGGCCGTGCTGTTGGGTAAACTGTTGTATTCGGGACGCGGGCTTGGACGATTTTAATTATCTGGGAAGTACCGATAAATTCTTCGCGATTCGGGCATAGACATCAATCGGGAAAGCCGAAATTGCGATTTGAATTAACAGGGGAACGTGGAAATACACGTAAATTGACATGTTTTAATCATGGAAATTGATCTCCCCCAGTTCCCCTTATTAATGAGGGCTCCGGATATTTTGTTATCTACTGTAACAACTGTAAGGCACTGTAAGGGCAATATGCCGCAATTCTACCAACCTGGTGTATGTTTTCCTTGAGCTCATCCCATTTGAGGCTGGTCAGCGGACCATCACGGTGACCGATGTACGCGGATGCCGCCATCGTCACCCAGTCCGGGACTGCCGTCGCGTTGAGACCATCGGAGTCGCGTAGCTGAAACCATGCCGTGTGGTCGGGCAGTCGTCTGCATTTCGAGCACCGGTTGACACGCGACACCCGTGCTGATCGCTTAGCCAGTAGTTCTGTAACACGGGAACCCGGCCATCGGATTCGATTTTAGATTTTGAAATTTATTTACGCTTTCAAGTATATTACATTGTTACATATATCAAAACGAGTTTTTTTTTTTAAATACATCGAGGGAAGGCGAATTGACTATACAGTGTTCAAGTCAGCCACTCCGCTAACTACAGTTAGTTACTTAAACCAGAGTTATCAGAGAGATCAGGGGTGTATAATATAGATCTCTATATCATATCTCTTTATATTCTCTCTATTTTCTCTTCCTATATATTCTTTCTATATTCTCTGTAAAGCTTAGGCTCTATTATACACTCCTGATACTATGATAGCGGAAGGGAGTCTGTACATTAACAAACACGGCAACCGATCGAGTTGGCATAGTTACAATTGCACGCTTCACAGGCTTTTGGTTTTATTTTGTTTTAGATTTTATGTATCATATCTGGTTGTGTGCATGTACATTAATTGTGACTACCTTTCGAATCTAAACCACAGCATATACCGTTCGTCTATACGCATGTAACTGGTCCAAATGACGCACGGTCGCTGCATTGTTCTTCCGACTACCTATGGTAGAGCTCTCACTATTATATAATAAAACAGTCCCTTAATGAATTAAAGTCATGTTATCAGGGGTGAATGATGACAAAGGAGTTTGACACGTATTGGATGCTGATTTCACTACATTTTGTCATTATTCACCCTTGACGTTAATATACCGAAAAGAATAGAATAGAATAAATACGAAAGAATGCAGTGATCCCAAGCTATGTCAGAATGGCATACACGCATGCTCGCGCAAAGAGTCTGCACGTATGCAGAGGACAGCAGCTAATTTGTATGAAGTAACACCCAGATGTTCCTTGTCCAGTTCCACGCGTACTTACGCAGATGGCTATGTCTGTCACGCGATCCTGTCCTTCTTCGTTTTGGCCCATGAATTCCTCCGAGTTTTTTTAAACATAACTTTGTTCATTTCTTCGAAAAGAATTGCCCCCATCGCTTCACTACTCACCGTTCAGTTCTCTCTTCGTCTGCGGCAGTCGCTGTCCAAGCTCAACGACGAACACCGGTAGCACGTAGATGACCTTCCTTGCCGACGCGCCGCCCTCTTCAGAGCGTTTGCCCAACATATCTACAAAGGTCTCCATCAGATCCCGTCTGTTCGGCAACAGATCGATATCGACACCGATCACGTATCGACTATCGGCGTTTCGTTTGGCGATGTTCGCGGCTTTCGCGGCGGGATACTCGATCCGGCTTCGCTCGAGATACGTCATCCGGGGCCGGAAATCCGGCGAGCAGTGGTCGCTCATGTCGCGACTGCTCGGACCCTGCGGCGGATGATCGCGGTGATAGAACATGTAGAAGGTGACCTTGTAGCGCAGTTTACGCGAGCAGTCGCGCAGTCCGAGCACGGCCGAGTAGGCGGAGTAGAAATCGCTGGCGGGTGCGTACACAGCGACCGTGATCGGACCGTCCCAGGCGTCGACGAGCGCCAGCAGACGCCACAGCTGCCGCACGCCGCCGTGCGTCGCCAGCGTCACCGACTCGTCGTCGACGTACTTGAACGACCGGTGTACGGACGCGTAGACGACGTAGTCGTCGCGCGCCGCGTCGTCCGCGTCCCTATTGCGATCGGCGGTCGCCGCGGCGACGTCGCTTTCCGACGCTGCCGCCTCCGTGCCTCCGCCGTAGTCGTAGTCCGGCACGACCTCGTCGTCGTTCGACCAGAAGTTCTGCGGCAGGCCGTCGGCGCGCCGGGACCTGCCGTGTTTCGTCATCGCGAAGTAGACCTTGTGACCGACGAGCGACGCGACGCTGACGGCCGACAGAACGCAGATGATCGCGCGCCGGAAATGCATCGCGCGGGTCAAAGGTCAAGGCCGATTCCACTGGATTCATCCGCAGTGAGAGTTAATGAGGGCTGCTGCGTCGATGGAGTTGAAAGGTCGCCGGGCGAGAGAGAGAGAATTCGCTACATCCCCAGTAATCTACATCTCTACATCTGCACTCTACATCACGCAGTTGTCGGTGTGAAGGACCTCTCCGCGCGCGTACATGCGCACGTACAGACACATCACGTGATCGCAGGTCCCTCGAGATCGCCGTAACGCGAGATTTTATGCGGTCACGCGCGTTCGACTCGTCGCTGGACTGGCACTAACGCGCAGCGCGGCGGCTGCACGGCGAGCGCATTTGCTGATTATCAATCACCTATATCGGTTAACAGCGCGCGCGCGCGTCGTGATGCGATATTATTGATCTCTCCAGCGTGCATGGTGAGGTGAATGATTTAGCTGCCGATTTCCAGACAGACAGCCGCCCGCCGTCAATATACGAGCGCGCTCGTATAGAACTCAGCGCAGACGAGAATGTCGTAGTAGAACGTCATCGTTATTCGTGTCTAATCGGTGCGAATTACGCGACAATTACACGTAAAACTCTTCCCTAAGTTCTATCGGGGAATTCTTCCCCATGGTTCGCTTTTTGCGAAAGGTTTGATAAGGCGTGCTGGGCGCAGCGCGGTCGAGCAGGGAAATGGAATCGAGATAGCAGATGCTAAACCGTCCAATCCTCATAGCATGGTCTTAGACGGCTGATGACTCAACGTTGCTGTTCGGATTCAAGATAGAGATAGAGGCATACGCAGAATATGCACGGCCCAATATTGCTGTGAGTATATATAGCTATTTTATAATATAATGTAATATAAGCTATAACAGCTCGTTTCTGTAGCATACCGTAGCAAGCCGTTGCCCTTTACGTTTACAATCATTAATAAATAAATAAATAAATAAATATATGATCAGGTCATATATGACTAATCATTATCATTATTATTATCATTATGACAATGTCATTATTAACCCCTGATGTAATATATATATATGATTTTATTATTATTTAGGATTTTTAGGAATTGAATTTATTCCCCCACGCAGCCCCTGGTTAGTATTGCGTTCGTTGCCCGTTCGTTTTAGTTGGCGTGTTTCATTCGGATTCGTATGCCCTCCCAGTTATTTCTATCAGCGCCCACTATCAGTAAGCTCATGCGTAATTGCACCGCCACAACTCAAACACGAAATTACGTTAGCGAGCAGCAGAGAGGATAATATAAAATCACAGACATGGAATTCATTTACAGCCATGTCGCCCCACGCGTTATAAATGTAATTAGCTAACATATAATAGTATTCATATTGATTTTCGCATTGCAAAACGAGACGACGGCTCGGTAAAAAAATGCTCGATTTATCTCGCCATTCAGTCACTGCCTTTAATTTTAATAAATGTATTGCAACCCGCTACTTTGCACGTATACTCACGTGTTTTTAACAGTCTACACGCAGTGACAGTCAGTTTAGTTAGATGCTCAGTATATAATTAGCAATATCAGGAGGCAATTTTAGCTCACTCACTCACGCACGCACGCACGCACGCACG